AGACCATGGTTTCAGGAACAGTGGCAGAGAGGGCTCACTAAACAGGGTGGACAGTGGAATGAAAGGGAAAAGCCTACAACCAATGGCAGAAAAATAGCATAGCAGAGATGAGGCAGAGAAGGTTGGCCATAATCACTAATATAGATGGTATTGACACACTAATAAAAAGAAACACAGGCAGAGTGGATCAGGAGATAGAATCCATCAAGATGATCTATATAAGAAATATAATTAACCTGAAAAAGAGTTTATGGGCTGAAAGTCAAATATGAGAAAATAATGCTCTATGTGATAGGGAACCAGAAAAAAATTGGAGTAGCTCACCTTTCAGCTGTAGACTGGCTGGAAAGACATAACACTTTTATACAATGGAGAACTATTCAGCTATCAGGAAGGAAAACCTTGAGGTTCTTGTAGGTAAACTAATACAACTTCAGATCAAGCTCAGAGGTAAAAAGATTCAGAATCACTTAGGTAAATATTAGGTTGCCTCCCTAATCTAAAAACTAAAGCAGTTAGTGGTATACAAAATGTGCAATGCATCCTGTGAAAATGGAAGGGGAAGAATTGTCTAAAAGGAGAAGACAGTGAACATTGTTAATCTTGTATCATGATTTGAAACGCATATTGTTTTCATTGCTCTGTTTAGTTTGGTTATATTCTGTTTCAGGTTTTTCTACTCATACTAGATTTAAGGGCATGGACGGCTATTCAAAGATATCAGGATATATATATTATGGTAACCATTTTTGATTTCCTATTAACTTAATTTTAAACCCTGTATTGCTTTCACTGTCTTGTTTTGATTGATTTTTTAAAAATCTGTTTTGTTTGATCACTGTCTTGCTTTGACTGATTTTATTCGAATCTAGTTTTTTTTAATAGTATCAAGTCTGACGGTATAGGCATCTAATTTGAAGACAATAAGATTCACTATGATACCCATTCTGGTTTGAGTATTACCTTCTTTGAAGTCCTATAATGTCTCCAATGTTTTGTTTTTATTGATTTTGTTAACAATATACAACATACTCAAGAAATATGCGTTAAAATGTAACTTCATAATCCACCATTCTTTCTATACCTCATCAGATCTCATTGAAATTATACCTTCATGAAGAATAAAGAAAAAATAAGAACATATCCTTCCAGTTCTTCTGGCCAACCCTCTTCCATATAGTCACACACTGCAACTAACACTCTAATAATAGCTTCCACTATTTTGTATCTATTCCAGATGATAAATTAAAGTGAAGACAGGATATGCAGAGGTAATTATGTGTTCATAGTTTCAAAATAATCATAAGTTTGGAACAAAATATGTGACTAATTTTGTATATTTTCTAAAATACTTAGGCAAGTGAATTAAAAAATTTTGTTCTCTAAAAAAACACAATAAAATAGCTAATAACCTGAACTAAAATTGCAAGACAACTTTGTCTCTTTGGCTTACTTTATTAAAAATCTAATTTTTCTGCTATAAAATAAGTGAATCATTTTTATGTCCCAGTTCAAATTCCTTTCAGCTTAATGTAATATGAATACTAATAATTCCCATTCTGTCTCTATATTTAAGAGTCCACTGTTGTCATACTGTTGTCATCAACATAACAGCAAAATCAGAATGACAGAGACTCTGGCAGACAATTTAATGGTGCTTATTGCTAACAAACTTAAATAAGTGAAATTACTTCCATTCTCAGTAAGGCTACAGTGTTAAATCTTAAGAATATATATCATAGTTTTATGATTAATGTGCTTTCCAAAATTTTATTCACTACTGAAACACTCAGGTATGCTGAATTCATGCTGTACAGAATTAACATTACTCAACCAGAAATGAATCTTACCAAATAGATATTCCATCATCAATCAAAAGTATGTCTTGAAGATTCTAAACCATAGCTTTTTTTAATGATTTTCAATTGTTCATGATAGAAAAGTATTACTCATTATAAGCCATGAAAAACTCCTGTTGAGCACTAAAATATTAGGAAATTAAGCCTCTCAGTCTCTCTTCTAGGGTAACAAAATACTGCTTTATGCCTAATTTAAATGTATTTTTAAACTATAATCCTCACTTCATTCTACTGATACAGTAAGGAGTTTGGTGCTAAATATTTATATTTTTCCTAATTATATTATGTCAAATCCGTGACATAAGATTTAAATCTCAGGAGCAAAGATAGTATCCTATTAAAAACAAAGAATATATAAACTGAAATACAGACACATAGGTTGGGAATAATCAAGAAACTAATAAGAAAAACTACTAATTTTTGGAATGAATACAAAGGTAGTTCATGTTATCTTCAGGCTTAAAGCATTTTTCAAAAGTACCATTTATTTATAACATTTGGGGCATATTAAAACAAATGGAACACCATAACATGTTCTTAAGTCACAACCTATCTTAATGTAGAAGTTTAGAAAGGAAAATTAAAAGACATTAAGTACCTTATTACTGAGAATAATAAAATAATATTTTATGGCTTAATATACTGCCTAGAAAATAAAAATGCATTGAAACTACATTTTAATTAAAACTATTCATACAAATATAGAAATAGAAAAATAAGTAAATGAAATGCATAAAAACTAAAATATAAAACATAGTTCCAATGAAGTCAACTTATTCTACATAAAGAAAAAATTTATTCTTCAAGAAAAAGATGGCAAGGTAATCGAAGAAAGTAAAAGTAAAAATCTGAAAGACAATAAAATTATAAAACAGTAAGTGAGCCTTCGCAAACCAGAGCTTGGTAAAAATTAAAAAGACTAATAATATCCAGGGTCCATGAGTATGCAAGGAAAGAGATCCCATCAGAAGCATAGGAGGCAGGAGTATTAAGTGGTTTACAGAAAGACTTTTCAAAAGGCAATCTGATAACATTAAGCAAAATTTACAAAGCATAATCCTTGGACCAGCAATTATGCTACCCTCCAGAAATCTACTGAATGGAAACACTTATATATACACATAAATATTCGTGTATTGCATAGGATATTCATTGCAATCCTTCATAATAGCCAAAAAATATGTAACCAAATATACACTAACAAATATCAGGTCAAGCAGTATAATGGGCTTAGCATTACTACCTGAAAATCCAAAATTCAAATGCTCCAAAATTTAAAAACACTGGGGCACTGTCATTATGCCACAATGGAAATTTTCACATTTAAATTCAAATGACAAGTTATAGTCAAACAACTAAAACTTGAATATGAGTACAAAACAACAATGAATTTTGTATTTCAACTTGGGTATATCTTTAACATTTCTTAATGTTTATGTAGAAGTATTCTAGAATCCAAAATCTGAAACACTTTTGATCCCAAGCACTTTGAATAATGGAAACTCAACCTTGTAACCACTTAATGAAATACCACATGACTACTACAAATAGTGAGGTTAACATATTTATATTCATGGAAAGTTCTAACCTTTAGGGCCTATTGCAATGAAAGAAAAGCTACAGGACATAATATAAACTAAGGAATTCTTATATAAAACTATGTATTTCTGTACATGAATGAAAAGAGAGAAAATGGACAATAAGAAACAAATCAAACCTTAAACAGTTAGTCTACTTTAAAACAGCAGTAAGGCTTGGAGTACAGGTTGAAGTAAATCTTTAAAGTTTGTTTTCTATAGTATTTCCAGAAAGTTGAAATTTCTTCAGAAAATATTGTTTTGCTTATAATAAAAATGTTAAGTGTCAATGATATAAAACATTATACAAATATTAGAGACATGAAACGTGTAACGGATGAAACCGTACCACTTTAAAGGTAACTCTCCTATGTAGGATCCTAGTATTTTAGCAACAAAATGTGAGATAATTTGCTTACAATTTCTCATTTTATACAGTTAACATTAAGGCCTAAAGAGTAAGTTTATGAATCATAAGTAAATAAATAGGAGATGTTTTTAAGAAAAGACCTTTAAAGAAAAATATACTTGTACACAAACCATTAAAAGAATGCTTTTAGAAATTCAAAAATTATAATTTTTTAAACTCTTAAATAACAACCCTTGTCAAAATACTGAAAGATATTTTGAAGGGTTTATACTTTCTCAAATAAAAATCCTCAAAAAATCATAAATTATTACATTTTTCTAAAAAATATATCAAGTATATATTTTTCAAGATTTCCTAAGAACGATAATGACTACTTATCAAACTTAATTAACTGCCTTTACAATGTTCCTCTTTAACATTATGTTCTACCCTATACCTAAAGATTTTTTAAGAAAGCATAAGAGTCCGTGTTTCTTATAATATACAGAAGTTTCTAAAAGATTGTACATTGCATGTACCTTTGGAACCTTCATAATATGAAGTCTTCTATCATAAATTCTGTTCATAACTCAGAAACAGTAACTAGTCTACCTCATAATGCAAGAAACAGAAAACAATTCTATCACCTATCCCAGGAGGCAATGAAGTATGTTCAGAGACATTTTTTACTTTCACAAAGTGGGGACAGGGGAAGAGAGTGCTACTGGCATTATTCAGCAGAAGCCAAGCGTCCTGTTCAACACTGTAACATAGATAGAACAGCCTCCCACAACAAAGACTTGTGCGGCCCAAAATGTCAATCGTGCTCAGGATGAGAAAACCTGGATAGGTAAGAGCTACATAAGCCATTTTTATTCTCTCCTTTAATGACCACAGAATATTCAAAGCTGAGGCAGCTAATTTAGTGCCTCTTCCTCCCTTTTCTCCCCACTATATTATACAATGCTATATGACATTTCAGTTAGTAATGAATAATATCCTGAGAAATATCAGAAATGCTAACTGCAACATCTTTCAAGTATCTAGCTATACAAATGTAAATACTGTATAAAATAAAAAAGTTTTTTGAAACAATGTTTCTTTATGTTGTCTACATAGGGTGGTAATTTCTAAATTCTAAGAATAAGTGATCCTCCAACCGTAATGCTTGGCTTCAACTAGTATTTTATATTTGAAAAATACAATGCTTCTTACCTTAAATAAACAACGGCATATATATTCATATACCATGTGTTTTAATGAGCTGATAAGAGACTGGATTCTCTGCTCAGTACTTTCAGCATCCTGTTGATTACAATTTGAAAATTTTAAAAAATTAGGAAATTTACAAATATTTCAAAGTACATAGTTTAATCATATAAATTATTTCTCTAGATTCAAAGCTGACTCTTGAACAAGTATATTTGCTCATGAAACCAAGGAACTAAATAAATAAGTGCATTAAACTAGTATTAAAAATGCTGCATTGTTATTAAAAGTATAAGTTGAAGCTTTAAATAAATGAAAATTATAATTGATTTCCAATATACAATAATAGTCAAAACTTATCACTTTACTACAGCATATAGTTTTAATAACACTATTTTTGAACTGAGTAAAAGCTGCTTAAATTACTTATAATTACCAGTCCAACCCAAAATTATGGCCAGACTCACCTTATACTTCTCATCCTCAACCTAAGAATTTAAACAATCTTAAATCATCCTTCAGGTTAACTAAGGATAAAAACTTTAAAACTGGTGCAGTAAAAATCATGACTTTAATTAATTTAATTTTTTTAATTTTATTTAAGGAGAAAAAGAAAACGGAAAAACGGCGCAAGTTATACAGAATTTCAAAAAAAATAAACAGTAGGAAATCACTAGTTAATAGATTACATATTGTTATGTTAGAAATAGTTGTTCAAGTTACAAAATTAAAGCATATAAAATGGACTTTCAAACAGTGAGACTGCAAACAGTTTTGTTCAATGATCCAACAAAAACTTAGTAATATGGTCATCTATCTTACACACCTAAACACACTTGCAGTTGTGTCCTTGAGAGCACTTTCTTTTCCTCTCTTTTGTACAATGACAATTACACATTTTGGATTCTATTACTCCCCCTTCTTTTTGAAGAGAATAAAACCAAATGTGACATAACAGAACAGAGTCAGTCAAATCAAAAGGATGGACATAAAAGATAATGTAAAAACAAAATACAAGGTGATCAACAACAGTTACCATAATGTCTCTTGCTATCTTAAAAAAGAATTGCCTATATCATCAGTTATAATAAAATTGAACCAAACAGTAAAGAATAAAACCAAAACACTGGAGATATTACAGGGCTTTAAAAGAAGATAACAGTCAACAAGAATGGGCGACATAATGAATCTTATTATCTTCACAGGTGTATACTTTCGAACTTGGTACTATCAAGCAAAGCAGAATAGGGGAAAATCAGTCAAAACAAGATGGTGAGGCAATACAGGGTTTCAAATCAAGTTAATAGGAAATCAAAGTGGGTTACTATAATATATCCTGCTATTTTTATTTTTCCCTTAATTAAAAAGATAAAATTTTAAAAGTAAATAATTTTAAAAAAGAGATGAGATAAAAGAAGGCATAACAACAAAACAGCACAGGTCAAACATAACCATTTATGCAAAATAGTGTTTCACCACAAGATATCCTGACATAAAAGTAGTTACCATAGTGTCTCTTTCCTTGAAATCTTTGAGTATAACTTCATATACTGTAGCACCAAACATATCAAGACAATGTAAAACCATTCAAGAGAATGACAGTATTACAGGATATTTAGAACCAACTATCAGAAAATGAACAATGGTTTCTGTATAATCTCCTTGTCTATAAAAGTTTTTGCTTATATTATCACATATATTAAAATCCAATAAATACAACCTGTTAAGACGGATGGAGACAGAAGAATAAAAGCTTGATGGGACTTCAAAACAAGATGATACTAAATCAGCACTAGCTATTATGATGTCTTGTTTTCTCCAAAATAGCTGTTCCTACCATCCAATCTTCTCTGCCTCATTTCTGTCGAGCTCTTTTTCTGTCGTTTGTTGTCAGTTTGTCTTCTTCATTTAGCTTTCTGCTTCATTCATTGTGGCCTCTCTGCCACTGTTTCAGGAATCTTGGTATTTTCCTTTTTTAGAATCCTGCAAAATTCTCTGTAAAGTTGAATTGGTGGTTGCAAATTCCCTAGTTCCTCTTTATCCTGGAAGCACCTTGTTTTTCCATCAATTTCTAGGGACAGTTGTGCAGGATATATGAATTTTGGCTGGAGGTTATTATCTTTCAAAGCTTGAATTATTTCCCCCCACGCTCTTCATGATTTGATGGTTTATGCTGAGAACTCTGCTGTAATTCTGATGGGTGTTCCCTTGTAAGTGACCTGTTTCTTGTCTCTAACAGCTTTTAATATTCTGTTCTTATATTGGATTTCTGGAATTTTGATTATTATATGCCTGGGTGTAACTCTGTTTGGGTTGTAGGTGGCTGGGGTCCTGTATGCCTCATACATCTGAGTATCTTTACCTTTTGCTAAATTAGGGAAATTCTCTTGAAGTATTTCTGTAAATAGCTTTTGTAGTCCATTTGTTTGTGTCCCTAATTATTCTTTTATGTTCTTAATTCTTAAGTTATAGATCATCTTATCATCTTCTAGCCTTTGTATTATTGCTATTTGTTTTCTTGTTATTTTTAAGAAGTTTTTCATTTCATGCTCCCACATTAAAAATCTGCCCTCCAGTTCAGATAATCTATCCTTAGTTTCTTTCAAGCTGTTATGCCAGCTTTCGATAGAGTTTTTAGTTTCCTGGTAATCTCTGTAAACCTGCTTCATATACATTTTCTCCATCAAACAATTCTCCCCTTTTTTTTCTGTTCTTCCACTCCACCATCTGCTTTTTCTTGAGCGGTGCTTAGCATTTCTCTAACTATTCTACTTTTAACTTGCTTTATTTCGTTAAATACTTCACTTTTGAACTCGTCTATGAGGCTCCAGAGATATCACTTTATGTCTATTGATGCCGTGTCTGATATTGCATGTTTTCTGTCCTCCTTTGCATTTACCTTTCCTGGATCAGTGTTCTCAGGACTGGGAACTGAGGACCCTTTCTTGTTGCTCCCTCTTCCCATACTTTTTGTTCCTTCCATACAAGCGAATACAGGAGACCAAGTTTTTTTTTTCTCTTTGTCTGTTGCAGTTTGTTTGAATCTGCTGGCTAGGTGTTCCCGCCCTCTGCAGTGTACTAGGGAGACACAGACCTGGGCAGCCAATGCTGGGCCCGCCCCTCCAGGTCAACCTACTGAAGGCTTCACTGCTAGGGTGTACCTCCTGGCACTGGGACCTGGTTTGGGCTAGCCTACTGGGTCTTAGTGAGCAGCGTCACCCAGGCCAAGCGCTCCGCACCAATCCCGCTTGAGAGGGGAATATGTGACTAAAGTCACTGCAGCATCCTATTCCGGCTAGTCTGCTCGGTTCCAGTATGTCATTTGCTGGAGCCTCCTACTCTATGGAAGGGTCCCTGTTCCGCTCATTCACTGCAGGTCAATGCAGGGCTCCCTGCCAGTCCCGCTCTCAACTCCATTTGCTGATTCCCACTCTCAGAGTTTTCATGCATCTCTCTCTCTGCCGTGCTGATTTGGTCACAGCAGCGGTAGCACAAAATTGAAATCACAGCTTCCAGTGGTGCAGGTTCCAGCTTCCACGCTGAGATTTTATCTGTTTCTGTTATAGCACTGGGATTGCATTTCCAGTTGGTTTCTGTCAGCGTAGGTCGTTCATGGGTTGGCAGGGTATATCTCCCCTTGCTTAGGACTCCTCACACCGCCCCATCCCTGGATTCTAAGTGGGGTATCTCAGAGAGCCTCCATAGCTGCTGCTATCTATCTGCCATGTTCTCCCAGAAGCCTAATTAATTTAATTTTTTAACTAAACTGATACTGCCACTGTACATATTTGCCATAATTTGAAAAATATCATCAATAGCTACTTCCTTTAATTACAGAAAAAAAAATGTTTGGGATACTAACAAAGGCAGGAAAGGCTGTGTATGAGGTAGCCTTTCCTCTAGTGTGATATGAGTTTTATATCTCATTTCAGAGATCACTAGAATACATGTCTTGCAAAGTTCAATGCTCTTATAAGAATAAGACGACATTTCTTTGCTTCACTGGGCTTACAACTAACAAGAAGAACTCTCTAATAAATTTTAATGGTTTAAAAAAATGCAACCAAGGTTAGTTGCGAATTGTGAAACTGCTATAAAACATTACAAATTTATAGCCAAATACATAAAATCTAGCCTTCTGATTTTGTTAATAGTATGTTCTAACTAGGAGAGTTGTTCATTTGTGGTTCACACAATAAATGTTTCTTCTCATTTTAAAACTAAGAGTGCCAGCAGTGGCACATGCCTGTAATTCTAACACTCAGGAATGCTGGGAAATAGGCAGGAGGATCATTGCAAGTTTGAGACCAACCTGAGCTACAAAGTGAGCTTAAGGCCAGCCTGAATGGCACAGTGAGACTCTGTCTCAAAAAAAAAAAAAATTAAGAAAGATAACAGGTAAAATGTGATTTAGATTCACTGAAATGTACTCCATTGTAAAACGGAGTACAGTATCTATAAGATCCTACAGATTTTCAAAACATTAGGAAGCAAGTTTTTACCCTACATATTTAAAATTGTTACATTTTATATTCAGTAATTAAAGTGTACACATAATCACAAGCAAGTATATACCCACACCAGGGTAAATATTATTCAAAGGCTACATGATCTATCCAAGAACTAAGGTTACCTAGAAGAGTACGAGTTATTAGCTTTTCTAAAAGATAAAAAACAATTAATGCTCTCATGACATTTGATCAAATTTCTACTTATCAGTTCTCATACCACAGTATTGGTAGTTACTGAATTTTTCAAAATGTATGTTTAGCTAAAAAATAAAGAGAAGTTAAAATAACGCTATCACAAAAAATTTAATGCAAAAAGATAAATGTAAATTACCTTAGTTTTATATGATACAGTGAATGGGAAATAAGATCAAATATTATGAACTAACTCTCAGACTTTACCAAATTCTGTTTTTACAAAAATAAGTTTAAATTACATATCACAAGCACCCAGTCTTTACAAAATTCTGTATTTTTGTAAAAACTTAGCATATTGTAAATATTATGATTAAATTTAACGTATTTCAAATTTTTCAAGTATTAAAGTATTTTAAATTGAAGACCAAAAGTCTAGTTATTTATTTTTTA